CCAAATCTTCTTTTGTTGAGTCATCCTGGCTGCATTGATTTTCTGGGGGGGGGATTTACTTTACTGTGCGGCACTTTCCGCATTTGAAGTTCGTTACTCGTTACCCAGATCAAAGTCTTCCCCGTCCGAATAACTCCCTCCCCCCTCGAGGGACGAGTTCAAAGCCGATTTCCCGCTGCTCCCAAATCCGGGGACATTTATTTCCCCTTTCCCCGAGGGGGTGATTGCGACCAGATAGACCCCCTAAAAGAATCCCCCAGGATGAACTACCGTATTTCAAGACTCAACGAAAGAAACCCTAGAAAGTTGTTCTCCAACTTCGAAGAATGTGTTGTTCTCAATTCCCAAAACTGAACTTTCTTCAGAGCTCCACTTTATTTTTATAATTTCAGCATAGCATAGCTTATATGTAATGTTATATGTTTATATGTTTAATTCACTTCTTACTATTAGCTGTCACTCTCCCTATATATATCTTGTACAAAATTTTCAATCGTTAATAAAATACTTTTTATTGATCCACTCAAGTTCAAATAAATTTTTTTTGAACTTGTAGAGGATGACACTTGATGTTAATACAGTTTTTTCGAATATTAATTCCTTCATTAAATTTAATTAATTAATTTTAGTTTTTTTTTAGATTTAAGTTGCATGCATCTATCAATAGAGGGCGCCAGATTTAAGAAGAAAATTTCAATTTTATTTGTAAAGGACTTTTCTGCCATAGAGTGAAAAAAAAGTAGGAACTGACTTTAAAAATTTTTTTTATATTTCTTGTAAAGAAATTATGTTGTAATAGAACCATAAGAGAAAATTTTCATATTTATATCGAAAACTTTTTATAGCATATTAAGGGGTATGAATGTGAAGTTTTTATTGTATAACATGATTAAAATCACGAAACAAATTTATTCGAAGTATTTTCAACGCTTTCAAGATTTGATACATTATCAAATAAATGTTCAGATAAGTTATTAAATTAAAATAAATTAAAAAATTGCACTGTTTGCATATTAACAGTTTTGTCCATAAAATGCATGGAAAAACAGTGTAAAGTTAATCAAATTCACTAAGTAGTTTTATGTGAAAAACCCGGAAATTGAAAAGAAAAACCAAAAAAGTAACATTTTTAAAAACAAATTAAGTAACTGACGAAAGTCTTGTTATATTTGAATTCTGTTATATCAAAACAAATTTATTGAATAATATATTATATTGAGTAAAAAATCAGAAATAAAATTACCCACACCATAAATATTATCAGAATGCATTTCGGCTATTGAAAGTCTTAAAAGTTTTTCTTTGTTTTGTAAATTTAAATTAAAATTTTATTCTGACTTCCATACAATTGGTTGATTATACATTTAGCCCGACTCATGGCTCAGTGTCAACGTGCGCCGTTGGTGATCATTATAGCTGAACTTCAATCCACTATCGGTTTTGTTGTAGACACTGTTTCAAAAAACGAGGAAACTCGATGGCGTTTGTGATGTTCAGCATTTGCCTGGTGAGTTGGACTACCTAGGGGGAATTTTCAGGTGTTTCTCCCATACGATACGCAAATGCGGAGTAATTCCCCCTGAAATCCTCCCGGAAGACAATGCTCTTTTTCTTCAGCGACACGGAGTCAAGTCAGACTTCTACCTATGGGTGCTCCATCACAGCTGAAGCTGACCTTGAAGCTTTCCTTTCTTCCATGAGAACACACAGGTTCATGAACTGGGTCTAAATGTTGATGTCGACCAAGTGGTATAAGAAACAACAAACAATGTGCATTTTAACCATCTTGCCTATTTTATATAATCTGAGGAAATTAGAAAGCTAATAATTACTTAAAAAAAGAAAATTGCTTCAGAAACAAAATTTATTAAACATTAATTTCAAAAAATAAATAAATAAAACAAATTTTATTTAACGCATTATCAGAAAAACACCATTTTATCAAAATTATTAAGCACTAATTTTATCACGCTATATTTAAAGCTTGCAAAGCTTAATTGATCGCGTTAAACCGGACAACACAAAACGTAATCTTCAACTACTTATGTCCAAACATTAAAAAGCGCGATAAAAAGGAAGCCCAACTATAATAAAACTCACCTCGGGCAAGACTTAAACTCGAATGGGGGGAATGCCAGAATGTAATCGTCAGCGAAATCGTCGGAAGGGGTTGCACCCGAAGGAGTCATTGGGCGTAATTTACGGGTGATCCCCCGAAAGAAGCCCCCATTCGAACAGGCAGATAAATTTTGCCGGAATTGGGGCGGAAACTTTGTTATGCCATCTGTTAATTGGGGCGTGGAACGCACCAGCATCTTCTCCAGGCCATGGCAAGAAAGATGGGGCGCTTTACGGCCCTTGAAGCGAAATATCCGATAATTACAAGAGCCCAAAATTAAACAAATCATCGCCAGAGCGATACGAAGATGTTGCCCAACAGTATTTATGCTCTTCTCCTTGAAGCCACTCATTTGCATTCATGCTTTTTTCTGCTAAATTTTATGCTCGCAAATTAATGTTTGTGTTACCTATTTAGAATTCTTAATGCCATTCGATGTTTTAAAATTGTATTATTTTTGTTTTTAATCCCTTTTGGTGTAGATTGCCATAGTTACTGTATATTACTGTCACCATGATGTTGTGTCATTGTTAAGGGACTATATGTTATTGTTACCATGCAGTTGTGTCATTGTTAAGCTACTATATGTTATAATTACATTGAAGTTGTTATTATTATGTTACTATATGTTATTGTTACCAAGAAACTGTGTCATTTTTAAGCTACTATTTGTTATCGTTACCATGAAATTATGTTATTGTTAAGTTACTATATGTTAATGTTACCATGAAGCTGTGTCATTTTTAAGTTACTATTTGTGATCGTTACCATGAAATTATGTCACTGTTAATTTACTAAATGTTATTGTTATCATGACGTTATGCCATTGTTAAGCTACCACCTCGAATATTGTATTGTATTGTCCACCTCAACAGTACTTATGCTCTTCTCCTTGAATGCTACAGCCCCTCATTTGCAATCATATATTTTTTTTCTTCTAAATTTTATGTCCGCAAATTAATGTTTGTGTAACCTGTTTATAATTCTTAATACCATTTCGAAGTTTTAAAATTGTATTGTTTTTATTTTTAATCCGTTTGGGTGTAGATTGCCATGAAGTTATGTCATTGTTAAGTTACTATATGATATTTTTACCATGAAGTTATGCCATTGTTAAATTATATTAGATTATTGTTACCATGAAGTTATGTCATCGTTAAGTTACTATGTTGTTGTTACCTTGAATTTATGTCATTGTTAAATTACTGTATAGCACGAAATTGTTTTTAGTATAAAATTAGTATCAACAATTGATCAAAATTATTTAAACTGTATAGCAAGAAATTATGTTATTATTAGCATGAAATTGTTGTTTTCAAACGTTATGCAATTTGATTTAAAGCAGTAATCCTACCTGGTGTTAAGATCGCAAGTTGCAATCAGTCAGAAGCCAGATCTCTTTACCACACAAGTTTCTGATTAATTGATGTTCTGCGACGTGCAATCTTAATATCTGGTAGGAAACCAGTTCTTGTCATTTTGCCATAATGCCGAAAGTTTTGTTAGAGAACACCCCTCACATAAATCCATCCCCCTTGAGTTGCCTTGACTGCTACACTGCAGTCATATTTGCCACCGCAATTTTGAGCGCACATGTTCAGGGATGCCATCTGAGGGATTCATATCATCTTTCTCGAGCCTAGGCGAAAAGCTTTCTAGCTTGTCGATATATCGTGCTCATCCTCTGCATAGGCAGGGAACTTTGTTCGAAAATGTTTGAACAGTCAACCAAGAAATGCCTTTTTCCCAACATTAGTAAATATCGAAATAGTACTCTACGTTATTCACTTACATTTGAAGAAAATTCTTCTAAAGACCATGAAATTGAACGAATGGAGCATGAATAAAAGGAATTCAATTCGAAACCCAGCAAGTAAATAAGAATTGAAATCTTCATGTCTTCGCGTTTAATTCGAGGATGGGTGTTCAGTGTGGTTGAAAAATCGAGGTGCATAGCGCGTGCAGTTGTATACTAAAGGATTTAGGATGAAACCTCCACAAAAGACAAAAAAACAATTCAATTTTCCTATTTATTCCGGGCTTAAGCAATTTAGATCAAAAAGCATTTCATAGTTCTACTCGCCAAAAGATGCTCTGTAGGGTTTCAGATACGAATTATAGTAACAAAAAAAAAACTTCTTAGTTCTCCTACTCGTCAGTGCTGCTCATGAAAAATATCGTTCCCGAAAACATGTAACTGCTCAAACCATAGTTTTCCTATATGTCAGTCGATGCTCATGAGGGTGTTTGTTTCAAATCATAGAAACAGTTGAGAACATAATTTAAAATAGTTGCCCTACTCGTCACATGCTGCTCATGAGAGTGTTGGTTCCATATTATAATATGGTAAAAGCCGAGAAAAGAACTTTCATAGTTCTTCTACACCTCGGTTGCTGCTGAAAGTGTATCAAATTATAGTAACATCAGAGAAAAGAATCGACTCATTGAATTGATATGCACATTCTAATAGTACGTTAATTGAGTATAATGGGTTCAAACGAAAACATACCCAATTCTAGGCTTAATGATAATTTGTGCAATTAGCTTGTTGGAGGGATCAGATATTATACTACTAGCATCAACTGTTTTTAAAAGCAGGCACTACTTGCTGAAATGAGAAGGCATTTTGTAGATTGTGGGAGCGTGTGTAAAGTGTATCGCATAAATAGTCAAGCAACCTGGTATGTGTTCTTTGGATTTTCAACCAATACAACTCTCGAATCCGAAGCAGTTATCGTTAAAAGTCCTTCTCTTATCAGTCAGTCCGTCAATGAAATAATAGTTTGATGGTATTACTTTTCCTTTTTTTTTTATATTGCATTAAATAACAACTGACATTTTTCATCGCACATATTTTTTATAATTTTTTTTTTTTTTAGCCAACGGCCGTACCATGCTGAATATACCGGTTCTCGTTAGATCACCGAAGTCAAGCATCATTGGGCGAGGTCAGTACTTGGGTGGGTGACCACCTGGGAACACTGCGTGCCGTTGGCAAATTTGGGACCTGAATGGCCGAGTGTCTAGCGCTCTGGCGCTCGGTGCCACAGGTTTCGGGTTCGAATCCCGGCGGTGCCATGGATGTTTGTAGTGGTTCGGAATCCACTTTAAGCCGTAGGTCCCGGTCTTCTATGACTGTAAGAGCGTCACGGAGCAAAAGTCAGGCTTCTACCTACGGGTGCTCCATCACAACAGAAGCTGCTTCCTTCCCCTTCAATCATGAGTCCATATGGGCTCGTGGGCTTGGCCAGCCAAGTGGGATAAGAAACAACAACAACAACATAATTTTTTTTTCTCTCCAATTTTCTACCGACAGCCATTATTTTAAGCTGATGAAATGATGGGCTTGATGATTTATTAGAAACAAAATAGCCATTTTGTCATTTCTTCGTCAGTGATAAAAGGAAACCAATAAAAAGATAAAAATAAGCATTAGTTCTGATTTTTTTTTATTTATGTGAAGATTTCCTCACGTTCGCACTTTATGGCGAAAACGTGATCATTTTTTCTCGTTTTCCTGCGCATGCTCTGTTTCATTTCTCTTATTGGAGAAATCCAGTAGGCCATTTTAACTGAATAAAATTGGAGTTGGCTGAACGCTAAGAGCCCCAATTATTATATGCCCTAACATGATATTCTTCCAAAGAACGTATATCTCTAAAGTTCTTCCAAAGAACGGATATCATTCATGAATATTCTTACAAAGAACTTATATCACTAGAGAATATTCTTACAAAGAACGTATATCATTCAAGAATGTTCTTACAAAGAATGTATATTATTAATGTATATTCTTACAAAGAACGTATATCACTAAATAATATTCTTACAAAGAACGTATATCACTAAATAATATTCTTACAAAGAACGTATATCACTAAATAATATTCTTACAAAGAACGTATAGCACTAAAGAAAATTCTTACAAAGAACGTATATCCTTCAAGAATATTCTTAACGTATATTCTTACAAAGAACGTATATCATTCAAGAATATTCTTACAAAGAACGTATAGCATTTACGAATATTCTTACAAAGAACGTATATCATTCAAGAATATTATTACAAAGAACGTATATCACTTAAGAATGTTCTTACAAAGAATGTATATTATTAACGTTTATTCTTACAAAAAACGTATATCACTAAATAATATTCTTACAAAGAACGTACATCATTCAAGAATATTCTTACAACGAACGTATATCACTAAATAATATTCTTACAAAGAACGTATATCATTAAAGAATATTCTTACGAAGAACGTATATTATCTATATATATCCTTAAATTTCTAAATTATTTTGATTTTCAATTAAATAAATTCTATTTAATATTTTTTATGATATCAATTCTGTAATACAATATATATGTATATGCTAATGATAATGAATTTTTAAGGAAATTGAGAAAATTCTAAAACAGGTAAAAAATTTGATGCTAGAAATTTTTCTAAATCTTGACTTTTAAATATTATTTATCCTTTAAATTTTTCCGAAATTTATTTATTATTTATTATATCATGATATTTACTGAAGTTGAGAAATTCCCTAATTTTGCTATTTTTTTTTTATGAAAATGATGTTTTGTGTACCCAAGTCAATCATGAAAAAAGTGTTATTATTTCTTTAAAACTTAAGCTTCACAATATGAACGCAATTTTCAACGTACATCCCAGAGATAGCAAATGATTTGTTCTCTCCTCCACGTTTAACGGACGAGTTTTTATCATGCTTCTCAGGGTCCTCTAATTCAGAAACTCAATAAAATAGCTATCCCCTAATTATTCCTGTTTTTGATTATATGGAAAGAATTGTAATTTAAATGTCAAAATTTTAATTGGCAATTTCTACTTGTATTTAAGGAATTTTGGTAATTTTTGGTGATCAATTGTGCCAAACTCGCCAAGATGTTAATAACTCAAGCAGCTATTGCCAAATCCAGGAAATCACAGGCAATTGTTCGCCAAGTAAAGCATAAAAATAAAAAAAAAAGCCAAATAAATTTCAGTAAAACATGGAGCGTGATGAAGAAAGACACGTCATGGAAGGCTGTCGGTTTCGAACGGGATCCTCTAGTTTGGAATCTAAATTCATTCTTTACTCTTATTCATTACTGTTTTTGATTACATAGGCAAACTTGTAATCTGAAAATTTCGGGAAAAATATCCTAAATTCTGTAAGCCATTTCTGCTTTTATTTAAAAGATTTTGGCCACTTTTGGCGATGGAATATACCCAACTCGCCAAGATGTTAATACCTGGAGCAGCTATTGCCAGATCTCATAAAGGCAGCGAGGCAATGGTTCTTCGATTAATTAAACGAATAAGTCTGGAGATGGGGGTAAATAAATCAGAATAAAATCTGGAGCGCAATGAAGAAAGACGCGTCATTAAGATGGTGGTCAGTTCGGCTTCGCTTGCCGGTTTCAAACTGGGATCCTTTAATTCGGCATCTAAGTTCACTCTTTCACTCCCAGTCATTACTGTTTTTGATTGCATAGTAAAAATTATAACTTGAAAATTTCAGGAAAAGTGCCTTAATTTCTATTAGCCATTTCTGCTTTTATTTAAATGGTTTTGGCCACTTTTGGCGATCGAATATACCCACACAATTCGCCAAGATGTTAATACTTCGAGCAGCTGTTGCCAGATCTCGGAAAGCAGCGGGGCAATGGTTCTTCGATTAATTAAACGAATAAGTCTGGAAAAGGGGGGAAATAAATCGGAATAAAATGTGGAGCGTAATGAGGAAAAGGCCCGTCATGAGGGGTGGGGAACATTCGTCAGCTGATCCCGAACTTTCCCGTTAATGGGGAGAGGCGCAATTAATCGGAAGCGACGTAATCAGTGTGCCTGGACGAGAAAAACATCGTTTTATTAGTGGGCTGTTAATCAGTTTAGGGGCAATCGATTCTGAATTAAAGGGTTGATCGAAAACGGCCAACGTCATCAGATGGAAGCCAAAGTCATTATCAAAAAGTCAAGCAACTCCAGTTGGGCCATAAATAACTGATTTCTCTTTCACTTTTCCGTTATAAGATGTAGGGCCTCCTTTAGTCTAAATGATGCCCAATGAAGAAGCCAAGACAGCTCGTCAGTGTATTTCTGAGCAAGTCATCTAACGAGTAGATGCGTGAAGTTTTAACATAGAATATGCTTATCGAAATTGTTTTACTTTCTTCATAAGTATTTAGTGTTACAGTATTTAGAACAGGTGTATTAAATTAGATATTTTTATATAATATAAAACGTCCTTGAGTATGGTAATACAGATAATAAAGCCTATTAAGCAAGTCGAATACAAAGCAAATTATATATTTATATAAAATACAAAAAGTCTTTGAGATGGTAATTTTTCTAATAAAGTTCATTTTAAAAACCTAGTAAGCAAGTCGAATACAAAGTCATGTGTTTACGTATGTTTATTAAGTCCTGTGGAGGAATGCGAAATTCATTCCACAGAAAAATTCGAATGCGAAATTCCAATTCACAGAATAAATAAAGATAAAAATTATTCATAAAAATAAAATTGTGATACACATAAATTGTGTATATATATAGTGAGACCAACGTTACTTTTTATTGAAGAAGAAGGAAGAAATATTTTAAAAATGGATCCAGGAATAAAAAAAAAATAATCTTTATATTTCTTGTCGATTTAAAAATAAAATAAAAATATTTTAGCTTTCCTCGAAATCACGAAACTATTTGAAATTTTTTGCAATTGTTAGAATTACAGATTAAATTTCCAAAATATAATTTGCTTTATTACATTCGAATATTTATTTTCAGTTAAGTTGAGATTCAAATACACCATAATGATAACAAAAAAAAGCAGTTGATTTTCTTAAAGTTTTACTTTAAATAATTTTTTATTATTTAATTTCTAGAAATTTAAAAACTTTAAAATAAGTAATACAATCAAAGAAATATTTTTTGGTGATATTTGAAACAAATGCTTATGAAAAGTTCAAAGTAATAAATTATAAATCATTGGATAAATAAATTATCTTTAGACTCAAATTAAAAGTGAAGATAAAAACTCATTTTCATGTTTCTTGTTAGTGACTCATTTCAAAAATAAAATATTTTCTCTAATATTTAGCATCCAATTAATAATTTAATTAATAAAAATAGATTGAAAGGAATTTTTACGATATTTAATCACAAACTTGAGCTAAATTCGACAAAATTTACAATAAAACAGTCTTCAAAAATTAATTAATGACCTCTAAGAAAATTTATTGAAAAGACAAACAATCTATAAAAGTCTTTAAATGCAAAATCACAAGTGTACAGAATACAAAGCAAAATAATTTTTTTGAGATAATCAAGATTAAATTAAAATGTTGATTTTTATTAAATAATTCCTTTAAAGGATTGCATTTCAACTCTTTATTCAGAAAATATTTAAACGCTTCAATTACGAAGCGCATTTAAATAAAAAAAAATTAAAAGACTCATTTACAACAAATTTTTAAAGAATTTTATTAAAACTGTTAGCGAAAATCGACCTCCATATCAGCAGTTTGAATTTACTTTTTTCGGTTGAAGTTATTTTACAGTTCTTTTTGAGATACTACAAACATTTTCAAACTTGTCCAGGATACATAAAAATAAAGAGGAATGTATTTAAAAATTTTTTGACCACATCTGGTTTGATACGAAATTCCATTGAAATTTTTGAAATTATTCCCGAAAGAATTTAAATAAAAATACTTTCTGCTGCACTTTTTTCATTAGTATTATTATGCATTTTCATATTCCATTACGCAAATAAAAATAAAATACGATTAAAAGGTAAACAGATAATTTTTAAAATTCCTCCGAAATGCTTGGGAAAGGAATACTCTTTTTAATTTTATTTTTAAGAGGGATAAAAAAAAGGGAAAAGAAACAATAACATTTCCCTATCACCCACTTTAATAAAACCTCCAGTGCGACGTTATTATGTGCAAAGGGGAATTCGATAAGAGCTCGACTTTTAAAAC